GGCTTCTTTAAAGTTCAAAATTGTCAGTAAGCAGGGTTAACAGCCCATCTGAGGATATAAAAGACATTTTCATAGATGTTTAATGAATGAACAAAGGTAAATTGAATTCTTTTTTTAAAAAAATTGAATTATTATAACTAAACTAGACACTTATGGGTTTTCCTGTTTTATAGCTCTTGTCTCTTATCTGTAAATTTAAGATCTTGACAACTTAGATTCAGCTTTGCTATTGTATCCTAATAGTTCTTTCCTTAAGCCTGAGTGAAAGCTATAGAATCTTACAAAGGTAAAATATATTCCTGGAAAAACATCCAAAAATGGATAACTGAGATTTACTCTCCCAAGATCATGATCCTATTGAGGAAAGGAGGTAAGGATAACTGCTGTTCAGTTCTTCCCTCCACCATAATAGTTCTTCATCTGGATGGTGTGCCTGGGAGGGGACAGAGGAGGCAAGGGAGAGTGCGTCCTGCAGGATTGCCCTTGTAAGTAATATGAAACCCAAAGCAAGTCACCCTAAGCTCTCATAGCGACACCTTTTACCGGTGTGAATGAAAACAGTGTGTTACATGTACAAATAAAAGCTTGTGGCGCTTTTCACTATGGCTAGCAACTTGTTTAAAGACTCAGAAAATGTATGAAAATAACCCACCAGTCATGCCAGCAGTAGATAGATGTTGCCTGTGCCCTTTGCTCTGATTGGGACTGGAATTGCAAGGAAAGCCATCTCCTGTACTCCACACCCACCCCATCCCACCCCCTTAATCGAGGGACAAGGTTAAGTTGGCATCTAGGAATATCCTGAAGGGAAACAGATAACTTGCAAGCTACCTCAACTTAGTCTTGGAAATATATAAAGGATAAAAGATGGATGGGGTGGGGCTGGGTTCCTGTGTCCTTCTGATCTTGTCCACACACAGGTTGTATCATCTCTACCTGCCCCCTAGGCTAGGGAGACAAGACTAAGGCTTGGGTCTCTGACAGCCTGTTTGGCAATGAACCATGATAACCTCATTACACTCACACCCACTCCTGGGAAAGTTTTGTTTTTTCTGTTTCAATTCACGTATGTAATTTTCTCTCGAAACAAACGAGATTGCATGCTGCAGTTTTGAATCCTACCTTTAAAATGTGATGTCTGCTGTGCCTTTAAATATTCGGGGTGTGTGTGGGGGGGCGGTATTTATAATAGGAGTGCCTATAATTTAAAACCAGATTTTGCTACTTTGCGTCTCAGAAAATGCGGAGATCATCACTACTTGGGTCCCCTCCCCATCGGTGGCCCACCTGCCCTTCCCCGGATGCTGTCGCGCTGCGTGAATTCGCGCCCAGGCTAGGAGCGCGAAGCTCTGCTCCCACGTGGCTGGCCAGACTGCTCGCAGGTGGACCTGCTGATCCCCGCCCCCTCCCTCTCCCCCATCCGCCCACCGACCCTGGCTCCGCCCCTCTCCCGCCCGCTCAGCGCGCATTGGTGCCGCCGGCTGTCAGTTCCCGCGTTCTGGGGAGGGGGCGCCGCCAGGCTGCGGTCTTTCTGCAGAGGACTGCTCGCTCCGGGTGCCACCGTAGCTTACTGGCTGTCTAGGTACCAGGCCTGGCGAGCGACCCCCAACCTGGGCAGCATGGACTCCCGGGTCAGGAACCTCGGCGGCCTGGGTGAGTGAAGGAGGGCAAGGGGGTTGAGGGGGAAGAGGGTGCAGGCCAGTGCCTGGTCCGCTGACCGCCTGCGCGGCGGGGTGGGCCGAAAGTGTCGGCTGGACCCCCGAAATATGCGTGCCCCGGAGATGACCGGGGTAGGAACTGGGAAGGTCATTTGTCCGCAGGAATCTCTAGCTTGCGCGACCCTCATCAGCCCTACCCACCTACCCTCCGTAGCCATCCAGTTCGCCCTAGAAGCATGGGTTGCCGGTAGATTTCTCCTTCTTTGCCCTTTATTTGAGGAAATGTGATTTTGGGTTCCCGGCATTATAATTGTGCAGATAGCTAGAAGCTGGGTTGTCTGTTGCACGCCCCCGGCACTTTCCTTTTTGAGTAGTTTATCCTGCGCTCTAGCTCCTGCCATAAGGAGCATCAGCCTGAACGAGAGACGCCTTCCTCCCGGAGGAAGCTTCGTGGTCCATGTCTGGTGCTGGGAGAATCATTGCTTTCCTCAGGGAGTGGTCGCTCTTTGCCTCCGCGCTTCTCTGCTCAGGGGCAAAGGGGAAGGGGCATCTTCCATGGCGATGGATTCTATCAGGAAATGACAGCAGGGACTTTAAGATTCCTGAGGCGATAAAATGACCGTGGCAGGCTAAGGACGAATCATTTGCAGTCTAACATTTCGCAAAGTTTTAATGTCTGCAGACTGCATTTTCCCCATTTTAGTTTTCTGTTTGGTGTTTGTTTTATATCTACAGTGTGATAATCTTTCAAGTGAGCTTCTCAAGCAGTGTCTTTGAGCAATTCATGTTAGTTTCAAATGATACATTCCTAAACATGACCTGATTTCAATATTTCTGTTAATTATACATCCTCTGGTTAATTAAAGTTCTCAGGCGCTGAGAACTCACAAGAGGGGAGAAGACTTAAAGAGAGCTATAATCAGCTGTAGTTCTACTTATGGAAGCATTACATGAGGAGGGACACTAAAAATGTTCATATTTTAGTTCCATCATTGTTTTAGGATGACTTTGTCTTTCTGCCAGAGGCATGGAGTATGTGCCACCCAACCTAAGGGAATATTTACTTAGATCATAAACCGATTTTCAGAGTTCCAATTCCTTCTGTGGTTCATAGAACTAGCCTACCCAAATGAACTTTAAACAATGAAAGATTTACAGGGGAAAAAAGTACAACAGGTGAGCCCCTTTGCTTATTTTAGGACATCCATCAACTAAAATTCATAGGATTTTTTTTAGATGATCACCTCATCTCTGTTCGTTGGTACAGTCATACCATTTTGTGGATTAATTTTTAAATATACCTTTATATTTATATATAACTAATCGGTTTGCCAGTTGTGCAGCTTATCATTTATATTTGGCTTTCAAATTAGTTCCAAAACCAAGAAAATAAAGTATAAGGAATTTCAAAATCTTGATTTTAAAATAGCAAGAACTCAGCCTAATCTTGATTCTAGGAATTGATGGGCTACATTATGGTTAAATAACCATTAAACATTTAAAAAATTTTTTTAAAAATATTTTATTGGGGAATTGGGGGAGGGGACCAGCCAAGTAGTTGTTCTTCAATCTTCGTTGTGGAGGGTGCCAGTCACCATCTGGCTTCCGTCGGCAGCTCGTGGCCTCTAAACTCAAGGTGCTGTGTTCAATCTTAGTTGCGGGTGGGCGTAGCCACCATCCCATGCAGGAGTCGAACCAGCAGCCTTGTTAAGAGCGCAAGTATATCCACTGAGCCATCCGGGCAGCAGCTCAGCTCAAGGTGCTGAGTTCAGTCTTCATTGCAGGTGGGCATAGCCCACAATCGAACTGGCAATCTTGTTACACCAGCTGAGCCATCCTGCCACCTGTTGGCAGCTCAGTGACATCTCAGCTCGGGCGCAATGTCACTGGCCTATGTGGGAATCCAACCTGGCGGCCCTGTTGCTCAGAGTTCGAGCTCTTAAGCCAACTCTTAACCAACTGAGCCACTCTGCTGGCCCCATTTTTAAAATTTTTGACTAGTGACTCAAGTGCAGATTAACATCTCCACACAATTCATTTTTCTGATGAAACTCTTAAAGCACAGTTTTAGAGCATGGGCTTCAGAAGCAGAAATAGACAATCTTGGGTTGAATCTGAGCTCTGTTACCCACCAGCTTTGTAATCTCGGATAAGTTGCTTCACCTCTCTAAGCCTCTTCATTTGTAGATGGTGATACCACCACCTTCTCATTTTGTAATGTTGTAGGGAGGATTAGAGATGTATGTAAAAGTGCAAAAGTGCTTAGCACTTCCAAATACGCAGAATTTGCTCAATAAATGTCAGCCCTTATTATCATTCACTCTTACTGATCTTCAACTATGTGCTTGTAATGGAAAATGTTTGAACAGCAAATACTTAGAAAAAAATGTCAACATTATACAACTAGATTTAAGAGTGGAGAATGACAGTAATGTTAAAATTTCCCCAGAGTATGTATGAAGAGTAGCACTTCACCTCCTTGATGGAATGTACAGTTTTAGAATGGAAACCTTGTGGTATAATGGAAAAAACATTGGAAGGTCAATGTCTTCAGTTCTAACTCTGGCCATGACCTTATCTAACTGTGTGGCTTTCTGCAAGCCAATGCCCGTTCTTCAGCCTGACTGGATTTGATTAATCTCAAATAATCTCTAAGATCTCTTGCAGCTTCAGAATTCTTTATTGCATGTAATAAAAATTACACTAACTTGCTTATCACCTTACATTCATTGTTTTTTGTTGTTGGTTTTTGTTAACTTACAATTCAGAGTCATAAATAATTCATTTATTTGACAGCATAACTCAAGAATTGGTAAAATAGTATCAGATTTGCAGAGTAATCAAAAATGGAAATTTAACAAAGAGAATAGAGCAAAATACATTCACATTGAAATGTTNGTTTTCCACATGTAAAATCTGGGTCTTGGTATTAAAAGAAAATGTTTTTAACCCAGTAAACCTCAAACTATTCGCATATCTGTGTATGCCTAGAGAAACATCGCCTGGCCCTTTTGGGGACTCTGATCTGGAATGTGGCCGTGTCCTGGTTAAGCGTCCTCCTGAGTGTCCAGTCATGGCCTCCCCCCCTCTCTCCTGTCTCTTAGCTCCCCGTTGAGGATAAAATCAGGATCATTGCGCAGAAGATCTATGGGGCAGACGACATTGAATTGCTCCCCGAAGCTCAGCACAAAGTGGAAGTCTACACAAAGCAGGTAGATGTTTGGTTGGTTTGTTCTTTCATGTGTTTAGAAAGCAGGCCTTGGAGTCAGAATCCCAGAGTCCTCCCAGCCCTGCTAAGCACCCACTGCTTCACTTCTCTGAGCGGCAGCCTTTTCTCCTCTGAGATACTGGGATTGGATTCGGTGATCCAGTCCCAAGTTGTTTATCTACCCATAGGTGGTACATGAGTGTATGGAAAAGCCATGAGGAGATACGAAATGTCTTACTAAAATATTGAGAGTCTGTCTTCAATTGTATCTTCATGTCTCCAAACTGTCATTTTTTTTTTTTTAAGCTGAGCCATCCTGCCACCTGTTGGCAGCCTAGCGGCTGCTCATCTCAGGCCGGGCATCAAACCGCTGTTGCTCAGAGCTCAAACTCTTGAGCTCTTAACCAACTGAGCCACTCGTCCGGCCAAACTGTCATTTTTAATTGGTTATATAGACAAAAATAAAATACTCGAGGAATACAGTTGTGAGTACTTACCTCCCTCGCCCAACAGATTCTTTCCCTTTTTTGGTCTCTAATAACTAAGCTGGAGGGCGGTGAGGTGGAGGTGGATATAAAGGGAGTGGAGACGTTCAAATAAATTGAAGGATGCATATCCTCACAGTGCCCAGATGTTCTTTGTTTTGGGGTCAGCTTGTCATTCGTCCTGCTCCTGTTCCCTCCTTTCCCCAGGGCTTTGGGAATCTGCCCATTTGCATGGCCAAGACGCACCTGTCCTTGTCGCATAACCCAGAAGAGAAAGGTGTGCCTACAGGCTTTGTCCTGCCCATCCGTGACATCCGCGCCAGTGTTGGGGCTGGTTTCCTGTACCCCCTGGTAGGAACGGTAAGTTAGTGCTACAGGCAAAGAGGAGTGCTTGCTCTTCTGTGCTTTTTGCCTTAAATTGATTGCTGAAGCCATTAAGCCGATGCCAAGTGAGCAGGGTTCATTGCTGAGGAGAAAGTTGGAGTCGGGCCTGTTATGATTAATCCCCTTCTGTGGACCATCTTGGTGCCAGTTCAAGGATGACGCCATGACTGCTTGTACTGAATAACAATTCTGTTTCCAGTGGCAGTATGACCTTGGCTGAATCCAGGGTGGGCTAATTGATAAGCTGTCGTAGTGCTTATATATAATCACAACTGACATTTATTGGGCACCTTTCAGAGATTAACTCAATCCTCCCAACAGCCCTGTGAGGTAGGGACAGAGGCTGTGCATCTCCTGCGACTTCCTGAGAGGCCCAGAGCTGAGGCCTGAAATCCAGGGAATTTGTTGTTTTTGAGTAAAGAATTTCCCCCTTAAAATGCAAATGAACCCTGTAAATGTGAAAGATGAGGTTGGTTATTTACACTTCAAGATGAATTATCAAATGCCTCATCTTGTGGGTTTTATGCGTATTAAAGGAGGATAATTGCAAATAGGGAGGTAGAGGAATGCTTAAGGACATAATTGCAGTTTGGACAAACTTTGTCCCAGGGTTAACACTGATCCTGTGCCCAGTTTCCCCCCTTAGATCGCCCATATCCTGTATCTGCAGGTTGTACTTAACCTGCAATGCAGGATTAGAGTATTAAACTAAGCCAATAGACAATGAAAAAGAAACCAATAGATCTCCTTTGGGGGCTATATTCTTTCAATGTAGTAAGAAAGTGGTTAGGAGGTGGTGTTATAGAGTCAAAGTATGTAACATTAAAGCCGAATCCTGTTGTCACCTCTGCTGACTTTGGACAAGTTATTAAAGATGTGAGCCCTGCGTCTCTCAGCTCTCAGTGTGGGGCCATCTCATGGCATAAAGGTGGTCAGACAAGAGCCTGCAAACCAGTGCCCCTCGGCCACTCCAGAGAGCGGGAGGCTTAGCTTTGTTATGATGTTCATCAGTCCTTGGCTTTGTAGAAATTCCCTCTTAATAGGAACATTAAACCATTTACCCAGCACCTTAAATATTGCAAAAACGTATTCTTTCTGGAGAAATTGTCAGTAGCTGCCAGCTAAAAGAGCAGTAGCTACAGTCCGTATTGTCACTTTTGATGTCTGCGTGCCAGAGGGGTGACTCTAGAGATGAAAGCAAAACTGAAAGTGGTCAGGCCAGTGAGGGTTTGCCTGTCGTTCAGAGAGAAACACAGTCTGCCCAGCTCAAGACTGTCGTCTAGAACAAAGCTTAGAGGCCAACTTGGACGAAGACATTTCCTCACATAACTGAGATAGCGTAACAGTCACTATTCTTAATGTCTCCTAATTACTGTTCAGGCCTGAACAGGACTCAGATGATTTGACTATTTTATGTATTAATTTAAGATGTGGTGACTTCTTTTCGAAGTTCTATATCCAAGCTCATGTGTGTATGTACATTTAAGGTTTTTTTTCTGATTATCATTATGACCAATGTGTTTTGGGGGGAAAAAAATCCTCTTTGGGAAAGAGTAAAAATGCCGAAAATCCTCATCACTGTTTTGGGGACCATCTTTAGAATTTTCTGCCAACGTGCTCATGCATGTCTGTGTCAATGGGCACTCGTCCTTTGTCTTTATAATGTCATCTTCAGGCTTCCCTGCTAGGAATGGGGAGCCGTCCCTTCCTTTCCCCACACCCAGCAGTTGCTAATCTCTTTCAGAGTTTGAGCACAGAGACTAATATAGTATGTTCTGGGGAGTATTGATTGGCACTCAGATGTCAGACTTAGGCTTTCTAAAGTGTAGATGTTTTGTTTTACAGAAGGTGACTCACCCATTTCTGTGACATTTTTATAGTTAATTTGTAGAAGTTCAGCTTAAACTCTTTTCCTGTCTGGGTCTGACTTGGAACCTGTGTGTCTTCATTATATAGGACATTGTCACAGATAAAAATATACTGAGTTTTCAGTTACAAGCCTTATGAATTTGCATCTAAGTAGATATCTGTCGAAGCCAAGCCTTTAGAAAAGAAGCAAGAGCAAATATAATGCATAAGCATTACAAGTTCAGCTTTAGAAGGCCAAATTGGCCCAGAAAACATAGTGATTGGAAGACCATCTAGATTATGTACAGAAATGGCTTGGCCCAAGTTACGGGATACTAATTCCTAATGTTGTGTTGCTNGACAAGTTGCTGTCGTTTTGTTCTTCAGTCTAGTAGTGGAGGACGTTGCTTCACTGGCCCAAGTTGGCACCATCATTGCGCTCTTCCCAGGCAAGTCACATCAGTCACCGGCTTCTGGACGGCCGCTCACACCGGCTGCAGGCCGTTCACACTGGCTGCTGGCTACACACGGCAGCCCATGGCAACCCACTGCCACAGGGGCTGCAGCCTACGCTGTTGCCAGCGAGTCACAGCAGCCCAGCTCCAGGTTGAGCTGTTGTTCAGCATCTTAGCTGTGAAGGGCAGTGTCACTGGCCCTCATATGTGGGATCCGAACCGGGGCCCTCTGGCGTCCCAAGCCAGTTCTTAACCATCGCACCACTTGGCCGGCCCTTGAAATCTTTTTGATAGGGCAAAAGTTAACCCCAATATTTATTCTCCAGTCATTTTCAGTATGTTATTATATGGGAAAGATGTCTGGTTTTATCATATACATTCAACGGAAATAGTCTTTATAGAAATCAATAGACTGATGATGGTGAAATAAAATACTTTCTTTTCTCTCTTCAGGTTGATCTTTAAACAAAACAAAAATCTATCAAGTAAAGGGCTTTCATGAAGAAATGAAAGAGATAAATTACAAGTAATAGAGAAAGCAGGCATTTGTATACAGGAGAAACCACCTCAAACAACTGTATGGAGTAAGACGAAAGGAGTGAGTACACTCAGAAGAAATTTTTCTTAGTGTGATATTTTTTCCCACTTTTATTGTCATCAACAGCTGCTAAGGAAGAGAGAATATCATTTCCTGGAAAAAGTGTAACATAAAAATGGAGCCCCCAGTTTCTGAAATTCAGGTAGAAACCAAAGATGAGAAGAGATCAGCGGAAGTTAGTCCTCAGGATGAGAGGCAGGAGGGAAAAGCATCGATGCTTTGCTTCAAGAGAAGAAAGAAATCAGCCAAAGCAATGAAGCCCAAAGCTGGCTCTGAAGCTGCTGATGTGGCAAGGAAATGTCGCCCAGAAACAGCCTCTGATCAGCCACAGCCCCCAGGGGGAGCCTGGGCCTCCATCAAACATCTTGTAACACGCAGGAAAAGGTCAGAGTCTTCAAAGCAGCAAAAGCCCTCTGAGGCTAAAGTGCAACCTGAAATCAATGCTGAGGATGTTGACCTTTCTAAACAAAAGGCAAAATCCAGACTTAAGATTCCCTGCATAAAATTCTCAAAGAGGGAGAAAAGAAGTAATCATTCCAAAATTATAGAAGATGCAGACCGCAGCATCAGAGTTCATGGAGAGGCTGAAAGGTTGGATACGAAAACTCCAACCCAATCAGGTGACCAGGCACCAAAGACCAAGTCGATCCAGGATGGAAGTGGAGAATTCTCCCAGAAAGGGGGTGATGAGGTCTGTGAATCAAACGTGAGCAACAGCATAACTTCTCCTGGAGAGGAAGTGGTTTCAGTAGAACTTGGTTTAGATCCAGAGCACTCTGCAATTCACACAGGAACTCTAGTCCTTGAAAAAGAGGTTGAAAAGATTGAGGAAGAACAAAGTGTCCAACCCCAGCAAGCAAGCCCACTGGAGACTTCAGAAACAGAACAGCAGTTACCCGCCGCTTCGGATGCTCCCCCATCACCTGCGGATGCTCCCCCATCACCTGCAACCCCAGAGCAACAAATTGGGGACGAAGCCAGAAACAATACCCTAGAAAGTGAACCAAATTGGAGAGACTATGAAAGTGGAGAGATTGTAGCTGAAGTGAGTAAGCCAGAGGAGTCTGAACTGAGCCAGGAATCAGATTTTAAAGAAATTGAGATCAACGCAGAGAAACCCAAACCAGAAGAAAGCAAAAGAATGGAGCCAATTGCTATTATTATTACGGACACTGAAATCAGTGAATTTGACGTTAAGAAATCTAAAAATGTCCCTAAGCAGTTCTTAATTTCAACTGAAAATGAGCAAGTAGGGGTTTTTGCTAATGATAGTGGTTTTGAGGGTAGAACTTCAGAACAATATGAAACGCTCTTAATAGAAACAGCTTCCTCTCTTGTCAGCAATGCTATCCAGTTGTCTATAGAACAGCTGGTTAACGAAATGGCCTCTGACGATAATAAAATAAACAATCTTCTACAGTGACTTAATTTCCGGATCATGGGAGGGGGAAAAAAAAACTTTAATTATTCTACATATGTGTGGCATTTCTTATACAGAACAAATGAGACATTTTCACCTGTGGAATTTAAAGGTACAATTCCAGCACAGAAGTGCTAAAGAATTAATCATGTTTATAAAAACCCTTCCTACCACTAAAATGCACTCGCTTCTGGATTGGAGGAAGTCAGTACCGATTGCAATGCAAAGTGACATACAGGGAGTTGCTACATGGCATGTGGAGATCGGGGTGCCTGGGAGAAAGAAGATATATTTATTGAGCACGTACAGTATGCCATAATCACTCTACTGTCCTCTGATGTCACAAAGCCTGGTTTCCTTTTGATAGCTCAATCCTGTGTATAGGTTAATACTGCATTCGGTTTTCAAAAACTTTTTTGTTGTTGTTGCAGTGCACATTTATGTTGTTTAAAAAGGTGAATAAGGTGAGCTTTTTGTGTGTGAATATATGATTTCTAGTTGTTACACTCCTAGGCAGTAGTCTTACCTCAAAAAAATATTGCATTTTCCCAGTTTCAGCAGAATGTGCAGAATATGCTTGTTGAATTAGACATGAGTGATTTCCTAGTTTTGCTCAAGTCCCTTACAAAAGCCATTCACAAATTACCTCAAACCGGCAAATAATTACCCAGGGCAAAGCTGGGGAAACAGCGAGGGCATTTTCCCTCTCCATCTTTCTTTTGACCCAAAGAGACCTGTATAAATCCATTTCTGCATGGGATCATCTGCTGGAAAGTTAAAAAACAAAACAACAAAAATAAGTGGAATATTATTTTCCATCCAGGAGAAGGCAAACTTCCCAAGTAACAAGTTATCCCAGATAACATGGATTCATCTTGCAGGGTTATTAGAGACTGTATTCATCAACTCTCTTCAAAATGGGGGAGAGTGGATTCAAAGCCAGCCTGGCAGTAAAAGTCCTAGGAAATCATAAAAATTTAGTGAAAACATTATTCATTCTTGACCAAGTACAAGGATGAATAGAAAGCAAAAAGTTATTGCTAATGCACATTATATTTTAAATGTCAGTTTTCTTTCATTGTGCCTGACACCAGTAAAAAACATTTTACATGGACACTGAAAATTAACTTTTTCATCAGTTTTTTCAATCCAGCTAATAATCCCTTACCCAAAAATGAACTTCATATAACAAGAAGGGCTTATTTGCATTTTATTCTGTTATTTAAATCATCGATCTCATCAATGATTGCATTTTTTTTTTGAGAAAGTGATTCTATTTCAATCTTTTCTTGTGGCCATAATACTATAACACACTTCCTTACCTCACAGGTTAGGGTTCATATTGTATAAATCCCCCATTGTCTAAACTGAGTGACAGTGTTACTCTGAAAGTAGATGAAGTAATGAGCTTTCACTGGAGTTGTAAGGTATTTGTTAAAAAGGACTTGTACGTTCTTGGAGAAACGAATATACATTAGATTATTTTAAATGATCTGGTGACTTCTTGAATTACTTATGGATTGCATGTAGGAAGTATGTGCAAATTTGTCCTGTAGATTCTTCTGTTTCTGTAAGTACATATTGAGACCTCTGGCAGTTTGGAACTGAATCAGAGTTTGGAATTGAAGTAAATAATGGATATTGTTGGCACGATTCTTTGCTGAAGTGCAAAAGTATTCCCTCAGATTTTCCTACCCTCATGCTTATAACCTTGGGGTTGGGGTGACCCACCCAAATCCTTCAGTTTAGCAAAGTGAAAAGTGGATCTTTCAAAACACGTGAGCCAAGAAATTAATTTTTCATTGTAGAACTTTTAAAACAGTAAGAAAAAAAGACTGTTATGTCATCCTCCCTAAAACTACTTTTTAATTCACTATATGCGGTGCTAATGGACTTGGATAGCTACCAGCAAATATCATACTTAAAACTGAACAATTTAAAAATCTGGTTAAAGCTGGTGCATTTTATAGTGTTCTGAAAAATCCTGCCTTCATTTACTGCAAGAATGGCTCAAGCCAATATACTTGCATTTTTAGTAACCTCTCCGAGCAAAAAGCACAGCACTTAAGTTATTGAAAATATAACATTTTGAAAGGTTTAAGCATATTTATTTGGGAGTTATAAAATCATACTAGGTAAATATGTGTGATGAATTTATTTTTGTTAAGAAAGTAACATTTTATCTAGTCCTATGTTTCTACTATCCTCCCACCCCAACTGGTTTGATAGATATTTTTAGTTAGAATGTAATATAATTGTTTTTGTGATGAGATGTGTACTCTACTTGCATTTATTCTTAAGTGGTTTCTCCTCAATCTTTTCTATTGCGAATATCTGCTGAATTAAATAAGTACAATTCATTTGAAGAAGGAATCCAGAAATTAATCGGTTTCAATCTGATTACAATCATATATCTTCCACATGTCTAAATCCTGCTACAGTGAATTCTAAGGTGACCCAAATTGTTGTGTTATAGAAATAATTAGGAATCAGATGACTTAGATGTCTCTCATAAAATTTTTTTATTATAATGGTATTTATTTTAAGCAATTTTATTTTATATGCAAGACATTAAATAGCTTATTCAATTCATATCCATTTGACAATATTAAAACAATCATTTAAAAGGCAATTTAATAATACCACATTAATTTTCATTTAAATTTGGTGTGGCATAAATAGAGTTTTTAGTGGGGATTCAGTTTCTCTTTGAACTCAGAATTTTACAAGGCTGGTTGGTTTATCATATACTTGTTAATTTTCTTTTAGCATATATCTTCCCCCCCTTTTAAAAGTCAAGCATTATTAACTTTGCTTTACAACCCAGCAAATATGAAAATCCCCCTCTATTTTATGTAGCATTATTCACATAACATTTTTGCAGAGTACTTTATAGGATATAAAAATAGTACCCAGTAATATTTAGGTAATGGTAGCATAAAACAAAAGAACTTTCAAACAGAAATTATGTTCCCCGCCACCTCCTCCACCTCAAAGAATAATAAGCATGTGGCATAAATGGAGTTCTTCAGAAAAGCTCTCTGCATAATTTTCATTCAAGGTCATCTATTTGACAGCATTAAGTTTGTGACAATCTTAATTGGTCTGTTATTTAGTGGAGTCTTAAAAACTCTCTGATTTATTTTGGAGAGATTGCTTTTTCACCCGTATGTGTGAACCAGTCTTCCTGCTAAAGGCATTTCAAGATACGGATCATGAGAGGGCACCAGTCAAACTTGGTCTCTGCATGCAATTCCAAGTGAACTTCATACATTTCTAACTTCAAGTTGCCTTATTTTTTATTGATACCTAAGGATTTTTTTTTCAGGATTTACAGCAGAATTTTTAAAATAACTGTTAAGCTTTAGAATCCCATTGTTTGAAAGGACTCTTTTTATGTCAACTTTATTCAACTATGTAAAGCCTACGTTCTAATTTCATCTGATATGCAATACATCAGGGGTTGACTTTTCTGCCTGTCATTTCTTTTTCTTTTTTAAAGATTTTTATTGGGGAATTGGGGGAAGGGGAACAGCGTTGGGGAATCGGGGAAGGGGAACAGACAAGTTGCTGTCCCTCTGTTCTTCAGTCCAATTGTGGAGGACATTGCTTCACTGGCCCAAGTTGGCACCATCATTATGCTCTTCCTGGGCGAGGCAGATCAGTCGCCAGCTTCTGGACGGCCACTCGCGGCTGCTGCTGGCCGCTCACGTTGGCTGCTGGCTACACACGGTAGCCCATGGCAACCCACTGCCACAGGGGCTGCAGCCTACGCCATCGCCAGCAACCCACGGCAGCCCAACTCCAGGTTGAGCTGTTGTTCAGCATCTTAGCTGCAGAGGACAGTGTCACTAGCCCTCATATGTGGGATCTGAACCGGGGCCCTCTGGCTCTTAACCAACACGCCACTTGGCCAGCCCTCTGCCTGTCATTTCTGAATTTACAAAAAAAAAAAAAATCCTCATTTAAGGTTTAGAGTTATTTCAATTCAAATTCCTATGTTTTATTGTGGAACATGAAGTTTCTTATTTTACAGAATTCAAAATTTCAATATATAGTACATTTGATGGTGCATTTTTTAAATTTTTATAATGATCCTTATGTAATTAGCTAATAAAAAATTTATCAGGACACTACATAAAATTGAGATGTCCTGATTAAGTTCAATTTGATTCAACGCGTGTTGGGTATAACGCATGCCAAACACTGATAAAGGGAACAGGCTCCCTACCCTCCAAGAGCTCAACCTAGGGAGCAGCAGCAACAGGCCTGGGACAGAGGTTAAGGCAAAGAGCTACAGGAAACATAGTATCATGAGGGCCACAGAGCTGAGAATAAAGAGAAAATGATTAATTTTATCTGGTGTGGGGAGGTGGTCATATAAATACAGGGCTACTTTGAAAGCATTCTGTTTCTAAATAGTTCAACAGTGTATTCATTCTGGTTTGTGAACAGGTGCAGGAAAAAAAAAGCCTGTATAATGTTACATATTTATAGTTCTTTGTCTGTAAAGTGTTAAGTGAACGAGCTATTATGAAAGTAAAAATTCCATTTCATATTTCTCATTAAGATTAGTACTATATTACTGTGGATCAGATGCTATTAAAAAAATAATACTCTGTAGAAAAAAGGTTTTAACCTGACTTGATACATGTACTATTAATACAGAATAAATGTTATATTGGCTCATGTTTATTTACCCAAATCTTTTAAGAGAAACGTGATATATTACTTTCATGTCCTAAAACTCCAAAGATCACGCTGATGAAACTACTGGGTTAGCACTACCAAAAGGTCTATCCTACTGGGTGTGAGACAGACGCTATAAGGACACGCCTAACAGAACCCACCTCCAGCAGAGAGAAAACAGACACCTCGACCTTGAATTCAATTTCACTGAACTAAGTCCATGTATAGGGCAATTCTGGCTTGGATGCCTTCTATAAATTTAACTGAAGTGTGCTTGTTTTCATCATCTCTTGCTATACTCATTAGTTTGTCTTTTCTGCATTATATTAAACTGAATTGTTAATAATCTTTATGGTTTTCCAAGTAAGCAATCTTGACATGAAAATGCTCAAATTATTCAGATGGTGCCTGCTAAAGCTGGATGTTTCAGAAGTTCTTTTTACAAAGACCCTGATTTTATTCCCACGGTGACAACCCTGTTTTTTCTTAAGCACAGTCCAAGAATTAATAACTGGGCTCTTTGAAAGTGTGTACTTTCCAATCTCGAAACCAATTAAACTTGATAGTGCCTTAAAAGTCGTAAAATTAAACCTTGTTCCAAAGCAAAATGTCTTATTCATGTACAAACTCTGCACATAGGGTATTTAATATTTCTCTCTTTTTTTAAGATTTTTATTGGGGAATTGGGGGAAGGGGAACAGACAAGTTGCTGTCCTTTTTGTTCTTCAGTCTAGTTGTGGAGGACGTTGCTTCACCGACCCAAGTTGGCACCATCATTGCGCTTTTCCCAAGCGAGGCAGATCAGTCGCCGGCTTCTGGACGGCCGCTCACTGTGGCTGCTGGCCGCTCACACTGGCTGCTGGCCACTCACGTTGGCTGCTGGCTACACACGGTAGCCCATGGCAACCCACTGCCACAGGGGCTGCAGCCTACACCGTCACCGGCGACTCATGGCAGCCCAGCTCCAGGTTGAGCTGTTGTTCAGCATCTTAGCTGTGGAGGGCAGTGTCACTGGCCCTCATATGTGGGATCCAAACCGGGGCCCTCTGGCGTCCCAAGCCAGCTCTTAACCAACGCGCCACTCAGCCGGCCCTAATATTTCTCATTTTGCAGAACTGAAAAAGTTGTATTAAATCACATCTTTCTATTATAAAAGAAAGATACAGTACCTTTTGTAAAACGTGTCCTCACAGGCAATTCTGCTAATTTCTTTTTAGATCTACCTTTAATGCTGAAGTCTGGAGTCCCCAGCCCCTCAGCCCCTTTGTTTGTGAGTACTCGCTTTTCTTTTCCCCGCTGAAAGCTTGAGATCACCAGGTGTTAAGTTCCCAAGCTTAGGAGAATGAGTATACGTATGTTTGTACATGAGCACACTGCACATCCACAGAAAATCCTGAGCCAAAGCTGGGCATGGGCACCATGAATGATGAAGGAAAACCTAGGTGAGGGGAGGATGGTGCAGTGGCCCCCAGCCTGGAAAACTCCCAAACTGAAAACTGTCTCTGTATACAAATTCCAACCTATCCCCAGCAGTGGTATTGATGTCCAGCAGTTTCTGCACATTTGCAAGACAAGACGTGTCTCCCTCTGCACAACTCATTTTATGGCTAAACTCATGACTTTCGGTCCTCTCTTGATCTTTATGACAGTGCAATTATGGGGCAGGGATTAAACCTCTCATTCACTTTTTCACAGCTATACTTGCGGCCATAAACCCAGGCCTGCCACTTCTGCACTCCTGGGAGATGGGGAGCACAGGTGACACAAAAGCAGATGCAGTTATTTGTGCACTTGGACTTGAACCTTTTATTCCCAAATCCCCACTTTGACATCTGTACCTTTAGGTCACAGGAAGGTCAGGTCAGTGTGGCTACAACTGGGTCTCTACTCTGTGAGGCTGTGATGTGGCAAACAGGATGCCAAAACAACTGGTCACTGTTCAATTCAGGTGAAAAAAGTCAACTTGACTTTCTTATCTTTTATTAGATGTACCACAAACAGCTTTATTAGTAGTTTTGCTGATGTCAGAGTGAATTTGCTTAGAATTATCTTTTTAGTTTTATGGATTTCCTCTACACCCTTTAATGTCTGGCTAATGTGTTTTTCTCTGACCTGTGGAAAGTTGAATAGTGAATGATAATCATTATGGTTTATTAAGCTCTAAGACTTTTTCATATTTATCTGGGTGGTCTTAACTTTTTTTTCATTAAGATATAATTTACATACATACAGAATCCACATTTTTCAATGCACAGTTCTACAAATTTTGACACACAGTTGTATCACCAAGGGAGTTAATTTTTATTCTGATTTCATTGTTCGTTATACACTTGCGTATTTTGTTTTAATATTGTGTTTTTTTACTTTTTTGGGAAATAGCCATGATCACTGGTTACACATTACTTTCATGCTACAATGCCATAGTTGACTCTTAGAGAGGGCACAGCTCACAGTGGCCCATGCCAGGATCAAACTGGCAACCTTGGTGTTATCAGCACCATGCTCTAACCAATGAGCTAACCGGTCACCCCACACTTGTGTATTTTTGTTTAATGTAATTTTCTGGCTGCATCAGTGAAAACTGCTACTTGCTGCAGATGTTAAAAATAAGGGCTTCTTATACCCAACATTTAAACCAGGAGAAGGAAAAGTAGGGTTGTTATGCACAGCTGTGCCATTTCTGC